TTGTTATCTTTATTTGTGAGAATTTCATATATGTATACAATGCAATATGATCAAATCTACCCCCTTTTCCCTCTTCCAACTCACCCCATAGCCCCCACAACATGTTCCCTTTCCAACTTCATGCCTCTTCCTCCTCCTTCTCCTCTTCCTCCTCCTCTTCCGTTATAACTCACTAAGTTCAGTTAATGTTTCCCATATGGGCATGAGTGTGGGGCCATCCATTGGAGCATGGGAAACCTACCAGTGGTCACACCCTCAAAAACAGTGATCCTAGGCTGGGCGTGGTGGTGCTCACCTTTAATCCCAGCACTCTGGAGGTAGAGGTAGGCAAACTGTGAGTTGAACCTAGCCTGGTCTACATAGCTAGTTACAGGCCAGATGTGGCTACAGGGAGACCCTGTCTCAAAAATACCAAAACAACAACAACAACAACAACAACAACAACAACAACAACAAAAACCACTCAGTGATCTCCCTCAGCATCTATTAACTACCAATAGTTCCTTGGTAAATGGTGGGGTCTGGGGAGTACCTCCTGATCTATGAAGAATGTTGACTGGCTTGGTCTTTGCAGGCAATCACAATGGCTATGAGTTCATGAGTACACCAGCCTTGTCATGCCCCAAAGACAGCATCTCACAGGCTCCATCCTCCAGCTCTTACATTGGTTTTGCCTCTTTTTCTTTAATGTTCCCTGAGCCCTGACCCACTACTAACCAACTACTTCCATCCTCTCCGACCCCCTAGGAAACCTCTGGTTTACTTTATATATTTCCCGGTTGTAGATATGTCAAATAAAGGAATCATGCAATATGTGGTCATTGGTTATTATTTTATTTTATTTTATTATTTTTATTTTATGTGTATGAGTGTATTGCCTGCATGTATGTAAGTACAATGCTTGTGGAGGTCAGAGGAGGGCATCGGATCCCCTGGAAATGGAGTTACAGATGGTTGTCAGCCACCACGCGGGTGCTGGGAATCGAACCTGGGTCCTCTGCAAGAGCAGTCAGTGCTCTTAATTGCTGAGCCATCTCCCCAGCCTCTGGTTATTATTTCTTTCATTCTCTCTCTCTCTCTCTCTCTCTCTCTCTCTCTCTCTCTCTCTTTCTTCTTCCTTCTTCTTCCTTCTTCCTTCTTCCTTCTTCTTCTCTCTCAAGGCACTCACATTTACTTTAAAATAATTCTGGAAACTATATTGGTCTTTTTGAGACAGGGTTTCCCTATAGCCCCAGCTGGCCTGGAACTCACTATGTAGAACAGGCTGGCCTCGAACTCACAGAGATCCACCTGCCTCTGCCTCCAAAGTGCTGGGATTAAAGGTGTGCGCCACCACATCTGGCTTCTTTGCATTCTTTACGTTATATTCTATGCATTTAAAAACATCATTTTAGGGGGCTGGAGAGATGGTTCAGTGACCAAGAGTACTTGTTCTTGTATAGGATCAGAGTTCTATTCCCAGCACCCATGTTGGGCAGCTTACAATTGCTGTAACTCCAGTTCCAGGGGATCCGATGTCCTCTTCTGACCTCCACGGACACTGCACTTTTGTGCACATACCTCCGCAGAGCACACACATGTACGCATAATTAAAGATGAAATAAGTCTTAACAAAGAAAACATTTAAAGAAGATGTCCGTAGACATCTGGAGGGGTCTCTGGCACAAAATATTGGATAGACATCCTTACACTATGATTCATTAAGATGTTGAATGTTGGTTCAATAGAAGTATTTTCTGTTCATTTATATTGGGAGACACAGTGTGAAACAGTGCTTAGTATCTTTCTCTGTTGGGCTGCTCAGAATCTGTTATCTGCCACCTTGCTTGGAGTAGGCCTGTGAGGGGCTATGAGACGTGCTTCTCAGATCTGATGCAGCACAAAGTATATGCTGCCTCCATTTGTTATTTAAAAGCCCTTCTAATAATACCAACTTCAATAAATTCTGCAAATAAAATGCTCCAAAACAAGAAAAAACCCTAAAACCCAAAACTCTAAAAAGGGCCAATTTGAATTGCTACATCCTTATGGGTATTTCTCAAACTATAATAAGAATAATAGGTGCTGAAGAGGTGACTCAGCAGTAAATAGCACTTAATGTTTTTGCAGAGGACCGAAGTTTGGTTCCTAGTGCCCACATGGCAGCTGACAACTATCTGTAACTCCAGTTCCAGGGGATCTGATGCCCTCTTCTGGCTACCTTGGGCACTACACAAACATGGTGCACATACATACATGCAAGCAAACACTCAGGCCAGAAGAGGGCATTGGATCCCCTGGAACTGGAGTTACACATGGTTGTTAGCCACCATGTCGGTGCTGGGAACAGAACTCAGGTCCTCAGTAAGAGCAGTCAGTGCTCTTAACCACTGAGCCATCTGTCCATGAGGGAAGAAATCAATACCACACAGCAACGTTTAAGTTTCCAGCCTCAGCTAGGCTCCTAATATCACTTTTTAGCATTCTTACTCCTTCAACATCTCCAGAAACTCTTACCATGAATCTGCTGCTTTCTTGTTTTCCTACCACGTATGTCTTGTTCTCTGACTGCTTTTTTAGATGTTATTTGTCTTGAGCTATTTGATTATGGTGTGCATGGTGTAGTTGGGATTTTACACACCCCTTTCTGTGCCTCTTATTCACAAAGTAGTTGAGATCATTAAATATGAAGTTCCTCAGACTCAATAATTCTGAGACTAGGGGACCAGTTCACTCTGGTTTGCCCTGAACTTTCCTAAATCTGACATTGCAAGTACCATGGTCTGGAGGATTCTTTTTAAAATTTTTTATTTATTTTTATTTTAAGTGTATGAGTGTATTGCCTGCATGTGTGTCAGTGCACCCATGCGTACAATGCCCAAGGAGGTCAGAAGAGGGTGTCAGATACCCTGGAACTGGAGTTAGGGCAGTTGTTAGCCACCATGAGGTGCTGGGAATCCAACCCAGGTCCTCTGCAAGAGCCCCTCCTGGAGAATTCTTCCATTGTGGGAAAACCAGGACTGTTGGTCACCCTACCTGATGCAGATCACACAGCTGTTGGGGACATTTCCATGAGACTGCTCCATGAGGAGCACTCGGCAGCAACCATGTCTGGAATGTCCTTTTTTTGGCCCTTGCACTTTTCTGCTTCACTCTTTCTTGCCTTTCACTGCTGCTCCTAGTAAAACAGCAGCCAGCAAGCCCTGTACCTCAGGCTCTGCTTCCAGGAGGAACTCAGGTAGCATCAAACAGTACCCTAGGTCTTGCTCTTATGATGCCCCTGGGTCTCATGGTGGTGGGAAGAGGCTTATGAATTATTGGAGAACATGGAAGTTTCTCAGAAATTCATGCGTGTGTGTATCTTATTTATTTTCATTTTATGTGTATGAGTGTATTGCCTGCACCCATGTTATACAGTGCCTGAGGAGGTCAGAAGAGGGTGTTGGATTCCCTGGAACTGGAGTTACTGACAGTTGTTAGCTGCCATGTGGGTGCTGGGAACCAAATTTAGGTCCTTTGCAAGAGCAGCCAGTGCTCTTAACCACTGAGCCATCTCTTCAGCCCCTCATGTATTTTTTAAAAAGATATAATGCAACTCTATCACTATGAAGTTTCTACATTATACAGGAAGTGATGTAACTACTTGATGGTAGAACGTAACTTAAAAATGAGCACTGTGATGCAACAGTTAATGAAAAGTGACAAATGATAAAGCAGTGTGGAAGTTCATGTTCTACATCCAACATGGAGGGATAATTTGCCTATTTCTTTAGTGTGTGTGTATGTGTATGTGTGTGTGTGTGTGTGTATTTAATTTTCTTATGAGTTCATGTTGTACGTTGGGCATATTTTCCCCTGGCCTGTTGACCCCTATTCCCCGCCCCCCACACCTCTCTCCTTCCCATTAATCCCCTTTCTTCCCCTAGACTATCTCATGTCTACTTCCACTGAATCTATACATACATAATTTTATGTGTCTATATAAAATTTAGGAACCACAAATCAGAAAAAATATGTTATTTTTCTTTCTTCTCTTAATATTTTATTTATTATTTTTACTTTATGTGTATGAGTGTATTGCCTGTAGGTAAGCGTACTCATGTCATGCAATGTCTGCAGAGGTCAGAAGAGGGCGTCGGATGCCCTGGAACTGTAGTTATGGGCAGTTTTAGCCACCATGTGGGTGCTGGGAATAGAACCTGGGTCCTCTGTAAGAGCAGCCAGCACTCTTAACCACTGAGCCATCTCTTGAACCGGTTATTTGTCTTTCTAAGACTGGCTTAAGTCACTTAATTTGGTTGTTTCAGTTGTGTCCATTTTCCCACAAACCAAATGAGTTTCTTCTTCTTTACGGATGAATAAAACACAGCATTTTCCCTTGCCCATTCTGCTGTTGATGGGCACCTAGGTTGGTTCTATAACTTAGCTACTGTGAATAGTGCTGCAGTAAACACTGATGTGCAAGTATCTCTGTGATGTGTTGACCTGGAGCCCAGAAGTGAGGTAGCTGGGCCATTCACATAAGGTTTTCCAAGGCCTTGTATTAGCTATTTTTGTGTTGCTGTGATCAAATTACCTGACACTGACCACTTAAGGAAAGAAAGACTTATTCTGACTCATGGTTTCAGAGGTTTTCAGTCTATCATGGTGGAGTTGATGGTGGCAGAAGTGAGAGGTGGAAAGCAGAGTGCGATGGAACCTGGGCCTGCTGTAGCCATCGAAGGCTCACCTCCAGTGACTACTGCCAGCTAGCCTCTACCTCCTAAAAGTTCCATGGCACCCCCAAAATAACTCACTAACTGGGGGGCAAGTGTCCAACAAATGAGTCTGTAGGAGATGGTTTGTACTCAAACCCTAACAGGCCTCATCTTCCATTCATCTTCATCTTAGCTGCGTCCCCATTGTCGCTTTTCTATCACCCACACTGTCTGGCTTCTATTACCCAATAGCTCTGTGCCATTTGCAGTTCCTGACACGTGCATGGTTCCAGCTATTGCTCATTCCTGGGACGTCTTACCCACCTTCTGACCCTCTGCACTCCATTTCCATTGCTTGATCATGTCTCCTCGCTGCATCATATGCTCCTGGCAGGCAGGGATTTCCTCCTGTCCTGCTGCACATCCCAGCACTTGTCACTCCCAGCTCCATTATGTATTTACTGAAGGAATGGATGGATCCTCCCAGTGACCGTGTGAGATCAGTTGTGGTGACATAATTTCCACTTAAACAATGACAAAATGGAGCCCTACAGAGGAAAGAAGTAATGCAGGGAGTCAGAGAGAGAGCCAGGTTCAATCCCTGGGCCCCACATGCTGGAAGGAAAACTGTCCTCTGACCTCCACAGTGCCCCCCATACATAAATGTAATAAAAAGAATTTAAAGTTTGAAAGCTATTGAAGAAGGTATGATATGGACCTCTGTCCACCACATGTATGTACACACATAGGCATGTGCATACACACACACACACACACACACACACACACACACACTCACACACAATTTTTTAAAACACTGTGTCCAGCGTTTATGGGTAAATGTAGCAGGGAATTCTCTGGTTAGCTTGCCTCCTTCCAGTAGTTAACTTTCCCTTCATGCTCAGCCTTCATCTCCTCTCCTCCCACTCCATCTCAGAGTGGCTTCTCCAGAGGTGAACAGCAAATGTGCAGAGAAACTCAAACGGTGGCCTCTCTTGACCCCAGAGTTGCTGCTGAAGCTGCTGTAGGAAGAGCTGATGGGGGACTGAGAGATTTCCAGTTGGGGCTTTCTAGTGTAGGAGGGCACTTGGCAGCATTCCCCAAAAAGGGATGGGGTAGGCCCGAAGAGCACCACTCCCACACAGGGCCCTTTGCAAGCCCAGCGGTTGACCTTCTGCTCTCTGCTGCCCAAGGAGTCGTGTCCACGTTCCTTGGCCTGTTTGTGGCCTTTCACTACCTGCCTTGCTGATCGCTCCTGCCCCCCACCCCGCCCCTTCAGCTAAGCAGATGACCTACCTATGGATCCCCACTCTACCCAGTGCTTTCTCCTCCTCCTGGGCTTCTCCCCACAAGTCTTGATGCTCAGCTCTTTCCTGTCTTTCAAGGGCGAGGTCCAATGTCATCTCCCAGGAAGTGGGGCACTCCTGTCCTCAAGTCTCCATAACCCATCTCTGCCTTTTCTGAGGTCCATACTTTACTGTCAGCCATACTTCACCGTTGTTTCGGTCCACATCTGCACAGCCCTAAGAGAAAGGCACCTCTGACTTACTCCACTCCTGCCAGTGCTCAGCGTGACACCTTAGTTTGTTGATTGATTGATTGTGGTACTGGGATGGAACCCAAGGCCTCACACATGCTAAGCACATGCGCTACCAAATCCCCAGCCCTTTGTTCTTGGCAGATGTTTAGTATGTTTGTATAGCTACTATGTTGAGTGCTATGAGGGTATGGCTAGCCTACTGAATCAGCACATTCCTCTGCCACTGGGTGATGACCATCTCAAAGCAACCCTGAACTTGAAGAGAAACTGCTCTTTGTTTTCCTACCCAGAGCTGGGACTGAGGATTCAGAGGCAACAAAGAGACCTCAACTTTGCTCTCAAGGGAGAAGAGTTTACAGACTAATGTTCTAGGTCCTGAGGAGGCTAGATGCCATACCCTGAAAGATCCTTTGGTCTCCATTGCTCCTCACCTGTTCCTCAACCACAGTATCACCCCTGAATGGGAGAACTAAAGAATGGGAGAACTAATGAATGGGAGAATCAGCTGATGGAGGAGGGATTTTGGTGTGATGAGTTTTTGCCCAATATGCTGACTTTAGCCCCTAACTCAAACATTAGGCATGCCTGATAAACAGTTTGTGGTATAAGTTGATGATTTCCAGTATAATTAGACGGACTTTTAAGGATCATTAGTTCCAATGTACATTTCATGGAAAAATAAACTCTCGAGAGATGACGCTATGCTAGATACCACACTGAGCACTTTACAGTCACCATCTACCTATATCTTTCCACAACAATGTAAAGTGAAAGTTATTCTTACTTTACAAATAGGGAGGACACACGGACACTAGAGAACTTGACCAAATTTGCACAGCTGGCAAGGTGCAGAACCATCTGTGTTCAGAGCCCGCTGCCTAGCCCTGTGCTCTCTTGCTTCTCATCACATCTGGAGGAAGCAGATCCACAGGAAGGCACTATCTTGTGTGGGACCCCAGACCCTGAGAGACAAGGTTGTCTGACTGTATCTTGAAGTGCCTTCATTCCTGGGTGTTTCAAGACAGCAGGCCACAAAGACATTGAAAAAATTTCAAGTGTTCCCTAAGAGCCACACGGATTCTCTTGTGTACAGGAAAGGAACCTCTCAAAGACCTAGCCAGGAAGAAAGATTTCATCTCCTGGGCAGGATTCACTTCCCATGGCGACGCCTGCTTGAGTCGCAGCTCTGGTATGAAGCCGGACTAGTTTAGGGCAGTGAGGCTGCAATCTCCATTGTGTCAGGTGGTGACAGTGTAATCCTCTCTAATAATTTTGTTCACTCTCCTAACTCCCTTCCATTAGGCACCTTGTGATTTCAGATGCCTCTTTAGGTTTCCAGTCCCATAAGTGCAGGGGGATTTGGTGAGGGGGGAGAGGGAAAACCTGTCTTCCTCAAATCACAAGTGGGTGCTCCACTGAAAACAGCCCACCCCATCTGGAACTCCTTTATTTATTTATTTATTTTTTTTGTCAGAGCTATTGGTGTTTATGCTTTGTGTGTGTGCGTGTGTGTGTGTGTGTGTGTGTGTGTGTGTGTCTGTGTCTGTGTCTGTGTCTGTGTCTGTGTGTCTACTCCTGGGTGTGCATGTGGAGGCCAGGGGAAGATGTCCTGGTGTGTCCTACCCCATTGCTCTCTGTCTTATACTCTTGAGACGTGGTCTCTCACTGGACCTGGAGCTAGGCTGGCAGCCAGCAAGCTCCAGAGATCCTCTTGTCTCTGTCCCCCAGCAATGGGGTTATAGGCAAGTTAGTGCTATCACACCCAGCTTTTCATGCAGATGCTAGGGATTTGAATTTAGGTCCTTGTGCTTGAGCAGCCAGTGCTTTTACTGAGCCATCTCCTCAGCCCTTGATAATGCTTTTAAATTAAAATTTAAATTATATAAAAGAAGAGATAGTAATATATTAAAAGTCCTCATTACTCTACTTCAACAAAATCAGTGTATAGTCAGTCTTTTGTTGTTGTTGTTTTTGAGATAGGATCTCATGATACCCTGGCTAGCTTATAACTCACTATGTAGACCAGGCTGGCCTCTGATTCACAAAGATTGACCTACTTCTGGCTCTCGATTGCTGGGATTAAAGGAATGCACCACTACATCTTGCAACAGCCTTGTTTTATTATATCCTGTTTACACCATGGAGTACCATTACCATCGGACTGTTTTATGTATCTGGAATATACATATCATATTTCCAAAGAAATCTTTTATTTAAAAAATGCCCGTAATACCCTACATGTGTATAGATCTAAAGTAATTTCTGAATATTGGGGAGGCTTATGAGGCCCCACTCCTAGCTGAGGAGTTACTGACAGTTAATGGCTGCTTGGGGAGGGAGAGTCATTTTTCTTTGTGAGTGTGGACACAGGTACATTGTCCATGCTGCAGTGTGTGACCACACATCCGGGAACATACAGGTAGCATTAATTGGACTCAGTGGCTTAAAAACAAAAAAGAGGGGACATGGAGTTTGGGCGGGGAGAGAGTACTATATATATGAAATTCTCAAAAAATAAAAATATTCCATAGTATATTGAAAATATCTTAAAAAATTTTTTTGGATGTATTTTTAAATTTTATCTGTATGAGTGTTTTGCCTGCATGTATGTAAGTGCACCACGTGTGTGCAGTACCATTGGAGGCCAGAGGAAGGCATCAAATCCCCTGGAACTGGAGTTATGAATGGTTGTTATCCACCATGCTGGGAACTGAATTCAGGTCCTCTGCAAGAGCAGCCAGTGTCCTTAACCACTGAGCCATCTCTCCAGCCCCCAAAATAATTTCTTTTTAAAATTTATTTATTTATTTATTTATTTATTTTTATGTGTATGAGTGTTTTTTTGCTGCATGTATATAAATGCACCCATGTCTTGAAATGCCCATAAAGGCCAGAAGAGAGGTTGAATTCCTGGAACTGGAGTATGAACAGTTGTTAGCTGCCATGTGGGTGCTGGGATGAACCCAGGTCCTCTGGAAGAGCAGCCAGTGGTCTTAACCACTGAACCATCTCTCCAGCCCCTGAAAATAAGTTCTTAATATCACCAAATATCTAGTCATTATTCAAATATAATGCATATCTCTTACCTGATGAACCATCTCCCCACCTGCTACTTTTTTCGGGGGGGGACAGAGTTTCATTATATAGCCCAGACTAGCCTCAAACTGGTAATCCTCCTGCCTCAACCCCTTGAGTGTTGGGATTACAGCAACACCAAGCCCAGCTTTCTTTCCCTGATTTTGAAACATTTATTTTTTGAAGAGACTTGGTTGTCTTGGGGAGCTGTTCTTGTTCTGGCTTTTATTGGTCAGATCCTCTGAGGAGATGAGTTTATCATTCTCCTCTGGTCCCTGGTAGTGACTCCCTGAAGTGTGGTATGATTCCAGAGCACTGAACTTGAGGGTGAGGAAGCTCTGGTGTGGTGTGCTGTTGTCCTGCATCAGGAAGCAATAGCTGTCGGGCCCACACTCACCCTGTCTTACTAAGATAGTGATCAATGGGCTGGGTGTTCTCAGTCTGGTTCATCCATTGTCATGCCAGCTTTTTGCCTAATGATTTTAGCAGTCTTAGTGTCCTTGTCCAGTGCTATTGTTTCCTCTGTCTAATTCTGAGCTTCCTTTTTTTTATTAGTTGTAATTAATTAATTGCTCTCATGGTGTGTTTAGTTAAAGCACAATTCTTAAGTAAGAGGAAAGTAGCTGGAGAGATGGTTCAGCAGTTAAGATCACTGGCTGCTCTCGCAGAGGACCTAGGTTCAGTTCCCAGCGCCCATATGGCAGCTAACAACTGTTCCTAACTCCAGTTCCAGGGGATCCCACGCCCTCTTCTGGCCCCTGTGGGCATTGCATGCACAAGTGCACTTACATACATGCAGACAAAACACTCATGCACACAAAATAAAATAAAAATAATAAAATATTTAAAACACAGGGAAAATCCTTCTCTGCCTCCCTCCTTCTCTCCCCTTCTTTCTTTGCTGAGGATTGAACCTAGGCCCTCCCACATGGTAGGTATCTTCTCTACCACTTGGCTCTACCCCAGCCCTCTTTACCTGTTTTTAGAGTTTGTCCTTCTTCCAAGGGGGAAGTGCCCCCTGGCCTCTTGGGATTGCTCTTGGCTTCTTCTTCCCTGCCAAGGGTCCTGGCCATCCTGTTAATTTTGGCTTGGGACTGGCTTCAGAAGGCACAGCCATGTTCCATATAGCCATGTTCCATGTGTCCACAGTCTCCTTCAGGCGAGTAAAATGTAGATGACCCTATTGTGAACAGGGTTGACAGCATGTCACCAAATTTCCGCAGTGTTGGAGTACTCATTGCCACTGCCTGTCAGCCCATTTCTGATGATGTCTCAAATCAAATACCTTCATTGGAAACACCTCAGAGAACTTGGCCTTGGCCTGCTTACACCTTTGATCTGTTCTGGGAGCCTGGCTTTCCCTGATCCTGAAGAAGTAGCCCAACAGGATGCACAGGGCTTTTGTGAATGGGACTCAGTGCATTCACTCACTCATAACACCCCAGTGGGGCACCCGTAATGACCCAGCCATGCCATATGCTTTATTAAACTGTTGCCCTACTCTTGTAGTTGCTTACGTTGTTTTGTATATTTATGAACAGTATTGTGTTTTTTGGCATGTGAAGGCTTCTTATTCTGGTGAATTTATCTCATAAGGTCAATTTTTAAGAGCACATTGACTTTGGATCTTGACGTATATTACCAATTTATTACCAGATTGCATTCCCAAACCAGTGAACAATTTCTGTTCCAGCAGCAGTGTTTTTTTTTTTCAGTTTTTTTTTCAGAGTTTCTGTACTATTAACAGCATTGAAAGTTATCATTTTAAAATTTATTTATTTATTTTTATTTCATGTTTATAACTGTCTTGCCTGCATGTATATAAGTGTACACATGTGTGTACTGTCCACAGAGGCCAGAAGAGAGCATTATATCTCCTGGAACTGGAGTTGCAGATGGTTGTTAGCTGCCATGTGGGTGCTGGGAACCTGGGTCTTCTGTAAGAACAGCCAGTGCTCTTAACCACTGAGCCATCTCCCAAGCCCCAACCTCACCTCACTTTTAAAAATAAGCAATGATAATGCCCATTCAATAAATGCTCTGTTTTTTGTTTTTTTTTCCCCTCAAGTAAGTTGTCACTTGAGCTAAATTCCAGCCCAAGGTTTCTCAGTAGCAGCACCACTGGCATTTTAGACCTGATAATTCGGTGTTGGGAAGGGCTGCTTTGTGCATTGTAGGATATTTAGAAATAGCCCTGTTTCCTACCCTAGTAGAAGCCAGTAACACTGCACCCCACCTCCAGACATGCTCAAACATCTCCAAGAGGTAGGGGCAAAATTGCTCTTGGTTGAGAACTACTGGTCTAGTCTTATACCCACAGTGACTATTTTTTATTTATTTATTTATTTGTTTGTTTTATTTTACTCTGTCTCTCACAATCTTTCTGCCCCCTCTTCCTCAGTGTTCCCTGAGCCATGGGTGGGTGAGGTTTAATATAGAAGTCCTGTCCAGGAACAGGCACTCTGCAACTCTTATTCTCTACACTTGGGCCAGTTGTGGCCTTCTGTGTGCACTACCCTCTGTTGCATGAGGAAGCTTCGCTGGTGAGAGTTGAGAGTTGTGTTAGTATTCGCTGTACCCCCTGTTCCACTATGTTCCGTGAGAGAGCTGGGCATCTCGCAGCATTTATTCTCTGTGTGTGACCAGTTGTGGAGCTCTGGAATAGTCCCCATCTGTTGCAAAAAGAAATTCCAGGGCTGGAGAGATGGCTCAGCGGTTAAGAGCACTGACTGCTCTTGCAGAGGATCCGGGTTCGATTCCCAGCACCCACATGGCGCCTACAAATCACCCTTAACTCCAGTTCCAGGGGAATCCGAAGCCCTCTTCTGACCTCTGCAGCATTGCACGACACGGGCGCACTTACATACCTGCAGGCAATACACTCATACACATAAAATAAAAATAACAAAAAAGTTTCTTTGATGAGTGGTGAATTGTATACTTGTCTATAAATATAAGGATCCATAGTTAGCTTACAGTAAGAAATTACATTTGTCTAGGCATGTGACAGAGGTAGGGTTTTCTCTAGGATTTATGACCTTTCCAACCATGTGTGTTTGGCTATGTTTACAGTGCCGCAGTGCGTTCCCTTCTATTGAGAGGGCTGTAAGTCCAATTAGATAGTTGTTGATTACAGCGACTCTTTAAAATTTTGGGGGGGGAATTTCATATTTAAGTACTGTATTTACATCATTGCCACCCCTCTCCCCTCCTCAACTCTTCCCACACCCCATACCCCACTCCCTCTTAATTTTGTAACCTCTTCTTTATTATTGTTGAATATACATATTCATTATTTCCATTATTGTATATTTTATATATATAATCTACTGAGTTCATTTAGTGGTGCATGTGTGTACACTTGTTTAGGGCTGACCACTTGGGATTATATAACATATCAGAGGGCTTCTCTCAGTAGCCATTGATTACTTGTAGCTCTTCATTTAGTGGTGGGGCCTTGTGAAATTTCCCGTCCTCATTGGCATGTCGACTGGTGTTACCATTATGCACGTCCTGTTTAGGCAACCATACTGTTGAGGCTTTGGCTTTGGTTTCCCTGTTGTGTCTAATTCTAGATGCAGATGTCCTGGTCTTCTGCTTCTTACAATCTTTCTGCTCTTCTTCTGTAATGTTTCCTGGGCCTTAGGTATAGGGATTGCATTGTAGATGGATCAGTTGGGGCCAGATGCCCTATCGTTGCTTATTCTTGTAGTTTGACCAGTTATGAAACTTTGTAATAGTCTCCATCTGTTCCAGAAAGAAGTTTCTTTGATGAGTGGTGAGAGCTACAGTTATCTGTGAATATAATATTTAGTATTTAGACTCCAATAAGAAATTGCATTACTTTAGTTCAGGCAAGTGGCAGTATTTGGTTGGTTTACAATACCAGGCATGGATTCTCTCTTATTGCTCAGGTTTTAAGTCCAATTAGCTATTGGTTACCTCGAGATAAAAGTGCCACTACTGCATTGCTAGAGATATTTTGCTGGCCTCTCATTGTGGTTTGTAGGCTTACATCTGGATAGGACTCCTGATTGCTTTTCTCCCTTGGCAGCTTGCATAGCACCTTCCAATACCATGAGAGCTGGTCCTCAGGGAGGAGGCCTCCAGGTCAGTTCCAGCTCAACTTCTCCAAATCCCATGTCTGAAGGAATAGTGTCTTTCCTTCAAGTTCTGGGAGGCAACTAAGGGCTGTGTCAATAGCCTAGATTGTCTGGGAATCTAGACAATCTGGGAATTTTCTTGGTCTACCCTGATCAACAGTTTGAAAGGAGGTGTCCCTTGCTTGGTATTGGGATTTTTGTTAGGTAGCCTTCACCGAGAGAGAGAGATGGAGAGAGAGAGAGAGACAGAGAGAGAGAGAGAGAGAGAGAGAGAGAGAGAGAGAGAGAGAGAGAGAGAGAGATCCTTAGTATTATCTTAGTATTATTTAGTTTTCCTTCCTCCCTTTTCCTTGTATTACCCTTCCTCCCCCCTCCCCAGTTAAAGTCCCCCCTCATTTTCCAGTTTCTCCCTGTGTCCTGTGTCGTACTATCATATAAGTGCACCATAGTTTCATTATCCATTCATCAGTTGAGGGACATTCAGGTTATTCCCATTTCCTAGCTATTGTGAGTAGAGTGGCAATGAATATGGCTGAGCAAGTATCTCTGTAGCAGGTTAGCAAGTCCTTGGGGTGTATGCCATGGAGTGGTGTATCTGGGCCTATGGTAGATCTACTTCAAGTGTTTGTGAGGTCTCCACACTGATTTCCATAATGGTCACACCAGTTTGCATTCCCACTACCAGTGAATGAGAGTTCTCCTTTCCCTGAATCCTTACCAACATTTGTTGGAGTTCTTTTCTTCATCTTAGCTATTCTGACTGGGGTAAAACAAAATCTTAAAGTAGTTTTAAGCATAGGAAGCACCCTACAAGATATAGGTGAAGGAGAGGACTTTCTGAATCCGACTCCATTCACTCAGTAACTGACAAGTAGGACCTAATCATTAAACTAAAAAGCTTCCATACAACAAAGGAAGCAATCAATCTGGTGAAGTGGAAGGCCACAGAGTGGGAGAGAATCTCTGTCAGCTATACATCTTGTAGAAGATTAATATCAGAAATATAAAGAACTCAAAAAACAAAGAATCAAGAATACAAATGACCCATTTTAAAAATAGGCTATGGATCTGAACAGAGTTCACAAAAGAAGAAATAAAAACGGCTAAGAAATATCATAAAAAGTGTTCAACATCCTTAGTAATTAGAAAAGCGGCTCTTATTTTTAATTTAAAAAAGAGGAAGAAGAAATCAAAGTCCTGTGAGATGGTAAGGTTTTTGCCATGGTAGCAAAGAGAGGCCTACCAGATCAAGGGGGAATAGGGTCCCGGAAGTGATGCATGTTGGTACATGCAGCTGTTGGCTCTTTTTCAGCTGCTGGAACAATGACAAATTCCACCAAATGATTTAGGATTTTACCCGTGTCATAGTCAGTAACTCTCTACCTAAGAATTCTCACGTATCTCATGAGATGATGAGACAGAGCGATGCCAATTAGCTTGATTTCTATAGCTTTAGATCTTTCTAGTGAGTGACTTGGAGCTTTGGGTTCAGTGAATGGAGACTGTGTCACTAAAAGACTCCCCACATGCCCTTCTAAACAGATATCCAAATAGGCAAAACTTGCTCAAATTAAAATAACAGATTCATTGTACAATAGTGTGCGTGAGATCAGGAAAAACCACGAAGAGTCAGCTTCGTTTTTGTCAGAGCTATGTGTGTTTGTCTGTATGTGTGTGTGGTGTATGTGTTCCTGTGGGTATGTATGCAGGTGCATGTGAATGCTCTATACTTTAAAAAAAAATTATGTTTCTTTTATGTGTATGAGTGTTTTGCCTGCATGTGTGTAAGTGTACCGTGTGTTTATCTGATGCTCCAGAGGTCAGAAGAAGACCGGAGATCCCCTGGAACTGGGGTTACTAAAGGTTGTTAGCCACCATGTGTGCTGGAACTGAACCCTGGTCCTCTGGAAGAACAGCCATTGCTCTTAATCACTGAGCCATCTCTCCAGCCCCTCCATTTTGTTATTTTGAGACAGGGTCTCTCACTAAATCCAGAGCTTACCAATTGGCAAGACTGGCTAGCCAATGAGCTCCATCTGCAGCACTGGGGTGACAGACATAAGCCTGGCT